TCTGCCCCTACCTCGGCCTCGCCTCTGCCCGTGGCGGGAGCTGCTGCTGGGGGCTCGGGCTGCTGAGCGATAGATGAGGAAACGCGTGTTCTCGCCATCTGCGAAAGAACAGAGTAGAAATTCAATCAGTATTTGAGAAACAGAACCGCACGACAGGAAAGAACAAATGTGAAGTTTCCTAACTCTGTAGCCTCTGGGGGATAAATACAGACGTCTCTGTACCGATCCCTCACACTCTACGAAGCTTGTCCGTGAGTTGTGAGACCTATGTAACCTAGAGCTCTGATACCAACTTGTCACGACCCGGATTTTCCACCCTCGGGAGTCGTGATGGCGCCTACTATTGGGAGCTAGGCAAGCCAAACATTAATTGCTTTATCATTAACAACATAATCCTTTTTAATAATTTATCAGCATTATAAAAGCGACTAATTTAACTAAATAAACGGAAGTCTTAAATTAACGAAAATTGAATGGAAATGCGGAAGAATTCAACATAAGCCTCAACCCAAGACTGGTGTCACAATACTCACGAACATCTAAGAATGCTAAATACGATGTATGAAAGAAATATATTTGTTTGTCTCGAATACAATGAGATAACAGTCTAAAGTAAAAGGTAGGGGAGACGCCGGACCTGCGGACGCCTGCAAGGCTACCTCGGTGTCTCGCTGGACTGAAGGCCTGCTCCCATGCTACTGCTGCTGCTGTCCAAAACCTGGATCTGTGCAAAATAGCAAAGAGTGTAGTATCAGCACAACCGACCCCATATGCTGGTAAGTGCCTAGCCTAACCTCGGCGAGGTAGTGACGAGGCTAGGATCGGACTACCAATTAAACTTGTGCAGTTATATAATATACAGCGAAAAGTAAAGCAGGAATAAACAAGTATAGATGGGAGGGGGAAAACATGCTGCCGGGGTATACCAATATTAACAGTAAATCCAGAGTAACAGTCTAAGGGCAGCTTAGAATTTACAGCGAACAAAGAAACTAATATCAAAAATAAACACACTTGTATCAATAATTGTTGCGGCGCGCAACCCGTTCCCAATATATAACAACACTGTTGCGGCATGCAACCCGATCCATATCATTTAGCATTGTTGCGGCGTGCAACCCGATCCACAAATATCATTGTTGCGGCGTGCAACCCGATCCATATCATTTAGCGTTGTTGCGGCGCGCAACCCGATCCACAAATATCATACAATGCACGGTATCACCCTTCGTGCTTTATCACTCTTCCTCACCCAAATAACAATCATAAATAAGGGGCAAGAAAGTAAACAAATAATGATAGAAATCCCGGCAAGGGAATGCAATTAAACAATTAAATCCCCGCAAGTGAACAATATCAATAAATTTCCATGTCCCGGCAAGGGAGAAAATCGACAAAACAACAAAACGTCCCGGCAAGGGAATAAACCAATCTCTTTCTCTTTCTTTCACTTTCATCTCATAGTTCACATTATTACTTGAGCCAACGCTCCAAGAATTTAAATATCTCATATACCTTCACAATTTGTATTTCAACTCGAGCCAACGCTCCACGAAGTTCAAAGATCACAATTTCCTTTCACATACTCTTTACAACATATAGAAATCATCAATTAAGTATGGAAGCTATAACAAAACCAGGATATTCGCAATATAAGGACTCACGGTCATGCTAGACACCAATGTATAGATACTCGTCACCATGCCTATACATCGTAATCGACAATTAGCAAGTAGCAAATAAGACTCAACTCTTATTCCCTCAAGCTAAGGTTAGACCAAACACTTACCTCAACTTCCACGGCCAAATCAATCCACAACAACCGCTTTCCCTCTCGAACTCGGCTCCAACTCAATCAAATCTATACAATAATGACTTCATAGTATCAATATATGCTAAATAAATCAAACCCAATGCCTAATTATAGATTTTCAAGCTTCCTTCCCAAAATCCCAAAAGTCGCCCCCGGGCCCGCTCGGTCAAAACACGAGGTTCGGACCAAATTCATATCCCGAATATATAATTTATTTTCAAATTCGACCCCAAAACGAGGTCTAAATCAAGAAAAATCAAAAAGCCCTAACCCTACCCATTTCTCTAATTTCTACCCTTAATTACATGTTCTAGGCTTAGGAATTCATTAGACGTTGATGAAAAATGAAGGAAACGAGTTAAGATTTACTAACCCAAGAAGTTTTGATGAAGAATTGCTTCAATGGTCGCGCAAGAGCTTGGAGAAGAAAGGTTTTGGTGAAAACTTGGTGAAATCCCGTAATGGTTCTGTTTTGGGGTTTTAAAAATAATTAGGCAAAATTGCCCTTCGCGTTCGCGGAAGGAAGGTTGCGTTCGCAAAGGGTAAACTTGGCAGACCACCGCGTTCGCGATGGAAAGAGTGCGAAAGCGAAGAGGAAAGGCTGGGGGGTCCAGGACTTGGTCTATGCGAACGCGTGTAACTTCACGCGGACGCGATGAAAGGGAAGACTCAAAGCTTCGCGAACGCGGAGAAGGCGTCGCGAACGCGAAGAACAAAAAGGAACCTGCAACAGCTGAAGCAAAAACCTGCAATTTTCCTAAGTTGAAATCACTCCGAACACCCCCGAAACACTCCCGAGCCCTCGGGGCTCCTAACCAATCACATGCACTAACTCAACAACATCCTACGAACTTAACCGTGCAATCAAATCGCCAAAACAACATCAAAAACAATGAATCAAACCTCAAAATCACTAGTTTTTCTTCAAACTTCATGAACTTTAAAATTTAGAGTTTTAAGTCCGAAACACGTCAAACAACGTCCAATTTCACCCAAACTTCACAGAAATATCTTAAACCACATATAAGACCTGTACCGGGGGCCTGAACCAAAATACGGGCCCGATACCACCATGTTCTAACCAATTTTCATTTCAATTTTCTTCATAAATTTCGGAAAAATAATTTTACTCAAAAATTCATTTCTCGGGCTTGGGACCTCGGAATTCGATTCCGGGCATACGCCCAAGTCCCATATTTTCCTACGGACCCTCCGGGACAGTCAAATCACAGGTCCGGGTCCGTTTACCCAAAATATTTACCGGAGTCAAATTTACTCATTTTAATATCAAATTTTAGCATTTTTCACAGAATTTCATATTTAAGCTTTCCGGCTACGCGCCCGGACTGCGCACGCAAATCGAGGCGACTACAAATGAGGTTTTCAAGACCTCGGAAGTACGGAATGAGTAAGAAAACAGGTGATGACCCTTTGGGTCGTCACATATAATGAGTTAAGATAAGGGTGTTATTTTTTATCTTTCAGCTCAATATTTTCTCGTGGTCAAAAACTTATTAGCTAAGATAGGGTAGTTGGTTATATCGTTATAAGAATATTATTTCTTTCTTTCCATTCAGATTCAAAATAATTTTATTTACTATCTTTCCATTTAAGTTAAAAAAATTATCTTTTAATTTTAACTTAAATTAAACATTATTATATATATTTTCCTAATTGTCTTTCAGTTCAATTTTTTTTGTGGTAAAAACTTTATTAGTTAAGATAGGGTAGTTGGTTATATTTATAATAATATTTAGCTTAGCCACAAATGCACATTATTTCTTTAATATATATATATATATATATATATATATATATATATATATATATATATATATACATACATACTCTAGTAGTGGTTAATTGTAATTCCAAGGTTCCTCTTAGTTCTTAATTTTATTTTTTTTTCTTTTTCAATTTGAAAAAACCTCAATCTCGAGTGTTGAGGAATTTATTATTCAAACCAACCAAAATTTACTATCCTCAGTTTACATCATGAATTTTACATCTTAGACTTTATTCTATGACACTCCTTAAGCACTATTTAAATAACTGGTCAAGTTGGACTTTAGATCAAGTTAATTAATTAAAGTCCATTGAGAACTTTTTATAGTTGGACTGAGTCAATCCTTTCATGTTTCATGTTCAAGATTTTGACTATCTCAAATTAAGTGAAGATGACAAGTAAATCAAATTTGAAAACTGAATGTGGCATCACAGCCAAAATCAGAATGGTCCCTCAATAATAAAAGAACTGAGATGTCAGGGTGACTGTTCTCCATCAGAATTTAATCCATCTTTCGTTTTAGCCACACCAATTTGTGCATGTCAAAATCAGAGTACATTAAATAAACTGTCATATCCAGCATTTCTACACTATCATACAACAACAACAACAACAATAACAACAAACTCAGTGTAATCTCATAAGTGGTGTCTGGGGATGGTAGTGTGTACTGTATTTCTACACTATCATAGAAATGCAAAAATTGTTAAATAGCATGACGGAAAGCTATTACAAGACTCTGGTCTGCGTAAATGAAGTGAGTAGAGCTATGGGGGACCCCGATTCAAATATCACCGGACAAAAAAAAACACAAGGCAATTTCTTCCGATTTGCCTTGACCTTGATGGGAAGAGTTATTCGGTATCTGTACTGGTTGACAGTATCAAGCAACAGGTAATATAGTCCATGTATACACAAGTTGATCAGAATACCATTGTCATCACAAAAAGGAAGAAAGAGAACAGTTTGGGCCCTGGGTGGGGGAGGAGTTGGGGACAGAGGAGGGCTCATTGATTGATATTTTATAGGACTGGAATCAACATGATATCATAATTCTGAAAGAAATATCAAAATTAGTAGAGGCTGATTCTCAGGCACATTAGAGGTCCAAATAGCCAGGTCCTTGAACTTACACCTCCTAAATTTGGCATCTGATACAAAGTTGACATAAATTTACTATATGCCTTGAAAAAGGCTAGGGGTTTGGAAATTCTTTTCCAAGAAAAAAGAGTGCTTAATACTAAAATACAGCCATTGGTAGGAGCTATTTGTCATCTGGCAAAGTCTTGTCCTTAGTATGCCAACTGCAACAATGAAGACTGAAGTCATTTAACTGAGACAGAAAGAAAATAAATATTCACTATTGATATTCTTAGAGATCTCAACACTCTTAGATATGTGGTGCATGTAGGCGAAAGGTGTGTCTAAGATGTCAGAAGATAACACTTAAAGCTACATGTGCAGCATAATGTGATATGTTATTTCTCATGCTCAATTCCTAAGTAAGCCTTCACAGCACCTCGACCCTACCAAACATGATTCCTGCAGACTCTATCTTCTACTACAGGACAAGGTTGTGACCTGGTGACAGCACCAAATCAAATTCTAAGGATAAAGCTCAGATTGCCAAAAGTCATTGACTTGACTCTGAGCAATCTCGAAAGGGTTAAACATTGCCGACAATCAAAGAAAACCTAGATATAACCTGAAAGAAAGTGTTACAAAGAAGAAAATGCCTCTCCAACACCAGTACTTTTGTGCAATATTAGTATTGCACTTTATATGGATGCTGAGATGTAAACACTCTAATATGAAGTAAGATATGCATCATACAAAAGCTACAGCCCTTAAAGACTTGAATTGAATTCCAATATTAGGTACTGCATTAGAGACCTATTGCTAATTTTTGTAGTATTAACGTACTAAAACTCGTCAAAATTATTAGGAACATATAAGAATAAATTCCACCAACCACTAACATCGTTTTGACAAATGGTACAGTTAGACAATGATGAAAGAGTACGCTTATAATTACGGGAGTCCAAGTGCAAACCACTCGCTAATCCACAGCCATTGCTTCAAGACCCCCAGTAGCATCCTCCAGCCCATTCTTATTATGATCATCAACTGCATTCCTCATCTCTTCAACCAAACTCCTCTGTTCTTCTTCTATCGTGTTCTGCAACTCATCAACCTAAGGAAGAAGTTTGAACATCAGCAAAAGACATCCACTTATACTGATCAAAGTTTTCTCACATACATATAAAATATTAAGCACTTACACAAACGTTAACTACCTATCTATCTACAAACATGGAAAATTTGACAATTAATGTTTTACAATGATCCAGTCATCTGCTTATCACACATAGTTGATTATCATGGGTGTTAGAAAAAATCGACTGAAACTTAATATATAGTAATTGGAAGTTACAATAGCTGCAATAAATTAGAGAATAATTGAATATGTCTGAAACTGTGAAATCTCAGAGCGTGAATCGGGAAGATAATAGGAGGAACAAGGGATCAAACTTTAGCATAGCCCTTCACAGTGATGGAGCAGCAGTGGAAGATTTGACATGATTTAAGTCCCTCAAAACCACAGTAAATAGAATGATCAATAACAGGCGCTATGAAGGCCCTTCAAATCTCTAATTCTCTATTACGTAGTCCTTCTAATCATTGGACACGTAGCGCATTAATCTTAAGAAAAGGAAAACTGAAGGCATGGATGGAAAAATAAGATTCTTGCCAATGGCCAAATGAGGCCTTGATCTAGTAGTGCTATAATTCAACCTTTGACACTGTGAGTATGAGGTCTCAATTTTAAGTTCCATATTATTTAATTATGTGTTGGCTCTCCTTCCACTAGTATGTAGGTGTTTATCCAACATGTAAATAGAATCTTAGCTGATTCTGAAGCAAAGATGGGAAGAGATCTCCCAACCCCCCACCACCCCCTCCACCACCCTGGGTGGCGGGAGGAGGAAGAAAAGAATAATAGAATAAACATGATAGAACGAGCCACACAGAAAAGAAAAGAAGGATGTGACACCCAGAAGGCGGGTCATAGAAGGACTAGCAGACTTCTAAGGGGTGCACATGATACCTTTGGCAAATTCAATTTTCAATCGGAATGAGAGGAGAAAGTGGAGAGTTTCATAAGGCATAACACAAGTTCACATGGTATGCTTGCTTATGGGCACGACGATGGCGTAGCCCAAGGGACAAATCTGTGAGGTTCATTTGATCAAAGAGGACAATACGTGTTATGGGCTTAAGCTGTGACAGATATAGTCTCAGAGCCGGATGCTCCCTCAGTACGGTAGTAGTGCAAACCTCTTCCTCGTTGTAGCCCCAAGGGGGCTTCGTGACGCCCATGAAGGAGGGTGGGCCGACAAGGACAGGAAGAACTGGCAAGCTTCTAGCTGGAAGGGGTTCAAATGACACCTAAGGCGAATCTTACAACTGAATGGGAGAGTAAAATGAAAAGCTTTATCATGCATAACACAAATTTACATGGTACGCGTGCTTTTGGGCTCGATGATGGTGTAGCCCAAGGGACAAATCCATGAGGTCTATTGGACCAAAGCGGACAATACGTGCCATGGGCTTTGGCTGTAGCAGGGCTAAAAGGTATTATTTTTTACGGAGAGACTTTCAGGCAGAACTTGGGCTAGACTTTGGTTGGGCAATGGTAAGCTGATTCGCTTCTGGGATGATGTTTGGCCGCGCCACTCTCCTCAGAGATGCATGCCATAATTTATATCAAATCACAAGGTTCTCATGACCTCAAAGTGATTGACTACATTCAATATAAAGGAGAAAAAAGGATTTATACCCCTATTCAACTACCCATCCAAGAGCATTTGGCTTCAGAATACTTTATTCTTTTTATTTTTCTTACAAAGCAAAATGATAAATGCAGAATCACAAAAAAAGGTAAAAGAAATTGGAAATAATTTTGATGATGCAATTTATGTGCCACAAACTCTCAAATCTCTCCAAGACATAACCTGCAATCTTTCACCTTTTACACACACATATATACATATACATATATACACACACACGTGCTTTCACTTCTTTTATTGGAGTATTAGGTATCATGCGGTTTTCTCAAGATGGGAATTTATTTTTAATTTTGTCAATTTGTAGCTCTACACTTATCATACTCATAAGGTGAAAATACTCAAATTTTGACGAGAATGTTATTCCACCAAATGCCACATTCCACTTCGCTTCTTTAGACCCGTCTCATGCTAATATTCAATAAATAAGGTTTTCTAGCCCTTAAAGTTTTCTACATTTTTTTCCGACATACAAATTCTTTAACAAGATCAAAAGACTCCAAGCAAATATTGGACAAATGCGAGCACACCAACAAGACTAAACTTTAATCTCAACTAGTTGGTATTGCCTATATGTATCTTTTTATTCTATTGTGTTTTACTTTCCACCAATTCTACGAGGATTTCAACACAATTCTTTCGAGAACTTCTTCCCATGTGATTTGTCTCTCATTCTTTAACACTTCCAACTGTCATCATTTCACCCTTAATGGACCGGTGCATCTAGAGGTCTTCATAGAATACGACCAAATTATCTTCAGCGACCTTCTCTCGTTTATCCTCTGTGTGTGTTACTTACCCCTTTTGTCGAATGTACTCCCTCTGTCCCAATTTATAGGGCATTTTTTGACTAAGCATTGAATTTAAGAAAAAGTGAATGAATTTATAACTTGTGGTCTAAAATATGTTATAAACATGTATGGCTATAACATCATATCACTAAGGGTAAAATGGAAGTTTAAAGTTAATTAAAATTTTAAATGTATAAATGTGTCATTCTTTTTTGGACGGACTAAAAAGGAAACATGCCACATAAAATGGGATAGAGGGAGTACTCATTTCTAATTTTGTATGACGACACATCCATCTTAATACCTGTATTTTTGTAGTATCCATCTTATGGATATATTAGACCTTAGAGGCTCAATATTCACTTCCATAAAAATTACCTGTTTGAAACCGTTCTATAAAACTTGCATTTCACTTTGGCTTGTACTTCCTATCAGATAACAATCTAATAGCACTTCTCCATTTCGACCACTCTATTTTAATAATGCATTCATCTTCATCCCATACCATCCTCCTGGAACATCAAGCCAAGATAATTAAATTATTTGTATCTAGGCACCATAATCCCGCCTAATCTCACTTCAATTTAACTCTTCTGATTTAGACTTGTAATGCATATATTATGTCTTTTCTTTTATCTTGTTCAAACTTCAGGCACCGTAGTCCCGCCTAATCTCACTTCAATTTAACTCTTCTGCTTTAAACTTGCAATGAATATATTATATCTTTCTCTTTTTATCTTGTTATCAATCGGAGCGACTAATGGATCGTGGCAGCAATAGTGCACATATTATGCCTTACTTTTACTTATCTTAATAACCAAAATTTTTAGAGCTCCTCTTCGTAGTTCAAACTTTTGGTTAACAGTTAACACCCTCGCTAGTTTCATAACACAAATGTTTTCTACAAATAGTTTACACCATAGGATCTTATCTTGTATACTGTTAGCTATCTCATCCTTAATTAGGATAAACAAGTACAGGCTCCATGCAAATTTGGTGTAGACCTATGGCTATAGGAAATTCTTTTATATCTTACCACAACCTTTTGATCACGGTGGTGATCTCTTACTGCAATCAGTAATCTTAAAGTCCATTCTTTGAGTATCTTATATTATGCAAGACCACATTGTTGGCAAGCTACCGCAAGAGGTAAAGTGGAAATGAACAAGATGCATTTGGCCACGTCTTCTCATTGTCAAAAAAAATGCACATATAAGATGAAGAAAGTCAAAAGGGAACAAAAAGAAAATCAATTATTTTCTCTTCCATAATACCTAATTCTGCCAATAAGAATCAGCAAGGATGCTCTAAACTGTTTCTTCTTATCTGGTAGTTATGTTCAAGTTACGAAACCCTTCATGAACATTCAGATCATGTTACTTGAAACCATATAGACCCCCAATAATGCCAGGGTAATGGAAAGAAACCAATTTAAGAGACTAAAATCCAGGGAAGTCTCTTCATAATTGTTATTCAGACAAAAATACTTAAAACCAAGTTCCCCAGTTGGTCTTACATAACTTTCACCAAACATCTTTGAGATATACTAATATTTGATGATTTATATAGATAAAGAAATGCAATTGTTTAAAAAAGAAAGATAGTGATTGACTTTTAGGCCAAAAACTAGAATGCTAAGGCAATGATAAGAGCAAGTGGCTAAGTTCAGAGGATTTCAAGATGATGCTTAAAGTTGTCTCCCGGTGACCTATAGGTCACGGGCTCGAGCCGTGGAAACAACCACTAATACTTGCATTAGGGTAGGCTGTCTACATAACACCCCTTGGGGTGTAGTCCTTCCCCGGAGCCCAAGTGAACGCGGGATGCCTTGTGCTCCGGGAGGCCCTTCAAGATGATGCTTAATAAAGATAAACGGTACTAGAAAGTCATGAAAACTTTGAAAAGCCTGGGATTTTCACCTATTGTTGATGGTTCGTGGTTACTTTTTTCATATAAAATCATACAGAGTTTTACCATTGGTCTAGCGACAATTAGAGAGTTGACAATAATATCAAAAATACAAAAACTAAAAACAGTCAAAGTCAATAGGGAGAGTCAGCTCAAGAGAGAGTCTCTTTCTGATTTTACAGGTTTAAAGAACATAATAAAGAATGTGAAATGTAAATGTTGAAGTAAAAAGCTTATTGAAGGAGAATTATCTTGCAATTCTCTAAAGAAGTTGTGGACCTGTTGGTAGTGTGTTATGTCAGTTATCTCTAATTCCTAAGTCTTTAGCTACTATATACCTTACCAGGTAGGGGCAAGGTCTGTGTACACACGACCCTCCCCAGAGCCCAGAGCCCAGACCCCACTTGTGGGATAAGACTGGGTCTGTTGTTTGGCTACTATATAATTCAATCGAATCTATTAACGAATTTCCAGTGAAAAATCAACAGCGCAAACGAGATGGATTCTACGGAAAGATACATACCACGTGTAATAGAAGCGCAAATTGCTTTTTACGAAGCTCTAATGTTCTTGAACTAGCAGTATTCTCTGCCTCCAACATGGCTATCTCTTTCTCAAGGTCTGTAATAACCTTCTGAGTTTCAGATCTTGGAGGCTGCATCGCAACCAACTTCCTGATGGCCTCACACTCTTCTTTATGCTGCCTCTCTATCTTGCTTTCTTCAAGTTGCCTCTTGAGATCTTCTATATCGGCCTGAGCTTGTAATATTTGTCCATTTATCTCATCTTTCAGGTCATTGAAATTTTCCTTCTCTCTAAGGTTTGCATCTATGACTGCTTTGCTCTTTAGGAGAGGAATCTCAAACGTATTTAGCTCTTGCAAAAAAGCTTTGGCAAGTTTTTCACAATCGCCATAGTTATCAGCTTCCTTCTCTACCTCTGAAGCAAAAGCAGTAAACTTTTTCTGAAGTTTCTTCAACGGCGGTTCACCTCTAGTGGTTGTTGTGCGAGTAAGAAGTCTGTGCTTAATAATAAAATCATCTTCAAGTGGGCCAAAAGCATAATGTGCAGCCACTGTCTCCCCCTTCCCAGCAACTTTTCTGCCTCTGGCCAACATTTAGTTTTCCTATCCTGAAAAAAATAACATCTCCGACAGATCAGCATCTGATGGATTCTAAAGAATTTTGGATAAAGTTTCCAGCTCTGAAGAGGTAAACAACAGAAAGGTGTTCTCTACTTCTGGCGTAATCAAGATACTGAACAATTTATGAGTTAATTTCAGATTCCGTTTTTGAAGTAGCAACCTCTCTGAGTGACATCTAGACAAAAAAGAAAAAGAAAAGACAGCAAGATCTATGCAGAAGATTTCCTAAACATCGTTTGATCAACTAAACCACGATCCCAAACTAGTGGTAGTAGGTTATATGATTCCTTCTTATATAATCTTTAGAGATTCATCATATTATGACTAATGTTTACGTTGCATGTCAACTTGCTACAACCCTCCTCCTTCATTTAGGCTCAGACCAGCTATCCAAAACTCACATAGATAGAGTTCTTCAATAATTTTTGTTAGATCGAAACAACAATTTGTAATCACCGTGATTGGTAACAAACTTGAAGAGTAGAATACACTCCTTTTCTCTTTTGTAGGTAACTTGAACAATAGAATCTTTCCACAGTTCCCTAAAGACGTTGATAAATTAAAAGGTACTATAAGAATACGAGAAGGACAATTTGACACGAGCAGAAAGAAAAACTTTACAGACCAACAAAAGCCCATTGAGCTCCGCCCATGCTGGTAGCACAGTGTAAATATAATAGTAAGATTTTGCCCTATTAGCACAGTGTAATTTTTCGACAAAGGAGATTCAATTGAACGCCCCTTTCTTCAGCTTAGCTCCGGCCATGCTAGTAGTTTATAGGAATACCATAAGTCACCTACTTCTATATCCAGCCAAATACTACAAAATTATCCAAAAATAATTTCTCAAGGTACAACATTATTCAAGGAAATCCATACAAAATGCACCCCTAAACAAGGACAATTTATAGAAATCACAACGACAAAAAAATGGTGAGCTACAAATAAATCAAATAGTCTGAAATTGGCAATATGAATCCTCCAAAACCATTTTATTTGTGAACTATAAATAAATCAATTACAGCTACAAAAAAAAATTACAGTGTGTGTGTGTGTGTGTGTGAGAGAGAGAGAGAGAGAGAGAGAGTTATACTTGAATGTGTGAGATAGAGAAAATCGTTGCGGGCAAAACCCTTTGTTCTTGCTTCTCGCTAGTCTGAGGATTAAGGTCGAGATCTCAGGGTTTTTGGCCACTTCTGTCTTTTTCTTCAAACTGTTTTTTTTCCTTTTTTTCCTTTGATAAGGTTAATATTTTATTATTTCTTTTTATCTTTTTGAGCAGAACGTCTATGGAAAATAATATTTTTACCCAGAGATAAATTCTCAGATTTTATTTGTGGGATTATATGAATTCTTGTTGTTGTTGATAAGGTTAATCTTTTGATTCAATTCAAATATCATTAAAATAGATAAGTTATTTGATATAACTAGTTAAATTGCTATAACATGTTAAATTTTGTTATTCCCACCATATTAATTTTTATTTTGTTTGATGTAATTTAACTCGTCAGAAAGCTTAAAAAGAGAGTAAGATTTTTAAGACTTGCGATAATATTTATGTGACTATAAAACTTATATTTGTAGTATTCTAAAATATATTATAATATTTTTGTAGCTTTAAAAATTTCTCAATAATGATTAAATCTGAAGTTTAAAGTTAAATTATTTTTAAATATAAAAATTTGTCAGCCTTATCTGGATTAAATAATAATAATAAGATGATATCATATAAATTAAAATTAATGGAGTATTTAATTTCTGAAGAGAGCTTCTTTCCAAATGTTCTCAAATTTCCACTATCCGTTGTAATAGGACATTCCATCTCTAAAATTAAGATTTCAAAAAGAATCTGTTAGAAATATAATTTGATAACTCAAAAAAAAAAAATACTCAAAATCACATCTAGATTAATTCTTTTAATGTGGTCTTTATTACATTAAATAATTTGAATATATTTCTTTAATGTTTGTAATTGATAACTACCAAGTTTGATTTCAGTTTCTACAAATTAAAACTGACCATTAAATAGCTATTATGGAATTCTTTATATTAGTTTTGAAAAAGTCAAATTTTTATATAGCAATAATGACTATTATGCTGGCAGCCAAATTTTATATAGCCATAATGACTATTATGCTGGCAACGTATTTTTCATTATTTGGACGTTACCATCAGATTTGAACATTACCATTAGATAGTTGATTTGTTTTGGACTATATATATTTATGTGTTTTCATCTTCTAAGGAGAGTGAAAAAAGTTAAAGACTTTTCTTCTTTTTTCTTTTGTGCTGGGTTTTCTTCTCATAAATCTTTGTTGTTTCTGCTCCTAGTTATACTAGAAGAGCTTGTTGAATCATGGGGGATACGCCTAATATTATTCATCTCGGGGTGGGTGAAATATCCTTAAGGACAGTGTTTTTGACACGCCTCAAGCTAAACCTTTTATTCTCCATAATCATCCAATTTTTTCCAACAGAATCCAACAAAATATGGAGGTAGATTTGCTCAACATTTAATTGAATTCAAAATAAGTTATTACAAATACAAGGGTAGAGGACGCATTGTATGAACCAACGTACAAACTGTGTGAATTAAATATTATATAAAGGTATAAAGCAATATTGTCTTTTTCGTCTCCTTGAGCTGAGGGTTTATCGAAAATAATCTCTCTACCCCCTTGGGGTAAGGTAAAGTCTGCGTATACTCTAACCTCCCCAGACGCAGTTATGAAATTTTACTGAGTTGTTGTTGTCGTATAAATGTATTAAGAATTGGGGGGGGGGGGGGGGTAGAACTGCAAAATTGATAGAAAGAATGAGATTTTTCAAGAGTGAGACAAAAAGTTAAAACCTTTATTCTAAAGAAGAGATTTTGTCCAGAGCCATCCAAAAGGGTAGAATTGCAAGAGTGACATAAATAATTACAGTTATGAATCCTATCAAAAAAATATGAAATTTTTTAGGGATAATTACCTCGATGTGTTGGGCTCCAAAATAATAGTCGGTAAATATATATGTTCTGTATATAAAGTATATCGGCTTTATGTCGGGGCGCTCGACCACAGAGGCCATTCACCTTGTTAGAAGTTTTGGAGCAGTATAGGGTGAGAAAGAGGGACTTGCATATGGTGTTCATCGACTTAAAAAAGGCATACGACAAAGTCTCGATGAGGTTTTGTGGAGATGTTTGGAGGCTAGAGGTGTACACGTTGCCTATATTATGGTGATTAAGGACATGTATGATGGAGCAAAAACCCGACAGGGGATGGTAGGAGGGGACTCAGACCATTTTTCAGTCATGATAGGGTTGCGCCAGGGGTCGGCACTCAGCCCTTTTTTGTTTACCCTGGTGAAGGACGTTCTGACGCGCGACATCCAAGGGGAGGTGCCATGGTGCATGTTATTTGCAGATGATATTATATTGATTGACGAGACGCGAGGTAGTGTGAAAGCGAGGTTAGAGGTGTGGAGGCAGACCCTGCAGTCTAAAGGTTTCAAGCTGAGCAGGACCAAGACAGAATATTTGGAGTGTAAGTTTAGTGGTGACACTTAGGGAGGGGGAGGAGAAGTGAGGCTGGACTCACAAGTCATCCATAGGAGAGGAAATGTTAAGTACCTTGGGTCTATTATTTAGGGGGATGGGGAGATTGATGAATATGTCACATATCGTATTGGGCATGATGGATGAAATAGACTCAGTTCTGGTATTTTGTGTGACAAGAAGGTGCCACCAAAATTTAAAGTAAGTTCTACAGAGTGCTTGTCAAACCGGCTATGTTATATGCGGTTGAGTGTTGGCTTGTCAAGATCACCCATGTCTAGAAGATGAAGGTAGCAGAGATGAGGATGTTGAGATAGATGTGCGAGCACACCAGGTTAGATAGGATTAGGAATGAGGTTATTCGCGACAAGGTGAGTGTGGCCCCCATTGAGAACAAGATGCGGGAAACGAGGCTTAGGTGGTTTGGACATGTGAGGAGGAGGAGCACAGATGCCCCGTTGATGAGGTGTGAGAGATTGACATTGGAAGGCCTACAGAGAGGTAGAGGTAGGTTTAAGAAGAAGTGGGGATAGGTGATTAGGCAAGACACGACGCAGCTTCAGCTGACCGAGGACTTGATCCTTGATAGGAAGGTGTGGAGGTCGAGGATTAGGGTAGTAGGGTAGGTGGTCTAGATTGTTCATACCAATAGTATTCGCGCACTCTCGCATTCTGTTGGTAGTAGGTTTCTATGACTACTTGTCATTTTCTTTCATTTTGACAGTCTTATTATCGTGTTGTTTTTATGCTGCTTTTACATGGCTTTTTGGTGTTGTCCCACCTTGTCTATCTTTTAATTAATATGGTGCTTATGTTTTCCTGAGTCGAGGGTCTATTAGAAACAACCTCACTACCTTCACAAGGTAGGGGTAAGGTATGTGTATATACTACTCTCCCAGACCCCACGATGTGGGATAATTCTTGGCATGTTGTTGTTGTATATTAAGTAAAAATATACATATAATATACATATTATATACACAATTAGTGTATACATTTTGTATATGTTAGCTAGTGCTTGTAATAAATTTCGATCTACAGGCTAAAAATAAAAAAGCCTAAATATTTATGGCGGAATAGGCCAAATTGATCTTTCATACAAATACACACACACAATATTTATATAGTATGTGTTGTGCATTCATACATCAATATACACATAAAAGACTGCATCTTGTATGTCTAACACTCTGTTTGGATCGTTGTTCCCCATCGTTTTATAATGTATTGTATTGTATTGTACCGTATCGTTTTATGAATAAAATTTGGATAGATTGTATTGTTTGTTATTGTTAAATAATATTTTGTTGTTTGGTTTGACTGTATCGTACTGTATAGTAAGTTTACTAAAATACCCTCAATTGTTTAAATATTAAATTTATCGAAAATTATTCATAAAAACAATTTTAAAAAATAAAACAGAAGCAAGCAAAACACAATAATAAAGCAGAACAAAGGAGCGAGATAGAAGAAGGCAAAACAAAGGAGCACAACTAATTAGAATTTAGTTACAAGCAAATTAGGAGAAGAAATAAAACAGAAGGCGGCAAAACACCTTTAACATTGGTCTGAAAAAAAACAAAGTAGGTTATAAGTTGGAGATTTGGAGTTAAAATAGAAAAAAGATAAAGGGTAAAATAGAATTGTGGAGTAATAAGTAGGGCATAATTGAAAGAAAAATAGAAAATAATCCCACCACACCAAATCGGTTGTTTCAGAAAGGGGGACTTTTCATTGTTCAGAACAATGGATTTAACAATGCAATACAACCAATTTTAATGAAACAATCAAAACAAACACTGTTGTGGAAGAACAATACAATACGATACAACGAGGAACAACCATCCAAATAAGTTGTAAGAGGTCTCAATAAGTCATGTTTGGTGGATTCGAGATGGGTTACATATTTGGTGTAGACGAATGTAAGTATATGCTATGAATATGTACAATTTTTGCTTTAGGCCAAATATATAAACCCCTTGTTAAGGTAAAAATTGCGCGAGGCGCCCTATTTGATCGCCCCCATTTAACCTATACCTATTTTTTTTTTTTTAAATTTTGACTTGTACCCACTCTTTAAACAACTTCAGCCCCCTTTCTACTCCTCCTTCTCCTCCTTCGGTTTCTTCTTCTTCTTCTTTCTTCTGCTGCTGTTGGTGCTACTATGAAACTTCAGTTCATGGGATGATTGCCATAAGTATATTTATCAGATTATTTAAAAACAAATTATAAATAATTTCGTAAGTTAGTAGACAATAATTTGTGAATATTTCCACATAATTCTGTTCTTTTCACGTTTATTGTTTCCAACATTTATGATTTAGATATTGTTGGCAATCTGATTATTTTATAGTAGTAATACACTATGAAAGAATAAGGTGATTATTTATCTAGTATGTTAGAAGTTTTTTCAAAAACTTCAGCTTATATAGTGCTGAAGTTTTTACAAATGAACTAAATAACTTCAGCATCTTCTGCTGAAGTTTTTGAAAAAGCTTTATGACAAAACTAATGAATTCAGAAAAAAAAAAACTTCAACTTATATACTGCTGAAGTTGCTGCTGAAGTTTTTGAAAAAGCTTTATGACAAAACTAATGAATTCAGGAAAAAAAAAAACTTCAACTTATATAGTGCTGAATTTTTTACAAATGAACTAAATAATTTCAGCATCTTCTGCTGAAGTTTTTGAAATAGCTCATCCAGGACAAAAAAATTCCAGCTTATTTAGTGCTGAAATTTTTACAAATGAACGAAATAACTTCAGCATCTTTTGCTGAAGTTTTTTAAGAAGCTATCCAAGACAAAAAGACTTCAGCTTATTTAGTGCTGAAGTTTTTACAAATGAACGAAATAACTTCGGCATCTTATGCGGAAGTTTTTGAAAAAGTTTTATGACAAAACTAATGAATCCATGACAAAAAAACTTCAGTTATTTTAGTGCTGAAGTTTTTACAAATGAATTAAATAACTTCAGCATCTTATCCGGGACAAAAAAACTTTAGCGTATTTTTTTTGCTACTTCATGCCTGTCTACTAGAATGCTGAAGTTTTGCGTGATTGTCTTTGCTACTTCAGCCCCGTATGCTGAAGTTACGCGAAAAAGTGGGTACGCTTGCAATTTTTTTTGTAAAGCAGACACAAGTTAAAACGTGACTCAAAAAACGGATATAGATGCAGATCCCCCTTGTTACGAACTTCCATTTAGACAGTTTGAGCCTATTATCCGTTGGACACTCAAATAATTGACATAGTGTACCTATTGTGCTTAACATGTATCCTTTTCTTCTCCTCCCCCCCCCCCCCACCCCCCCCAACCCCACCCCTCCCCCCTCCCCCCAAACCAAAAAAAAAACACAAAACACACACACACAAAAAAAAAAACGAATTTTTTTTCTTAAAACTATGTAATAGCCACTAATGGGCTGGTGAAGTACTAATTCTTGATAGAACTCTGTGTTAGTTTTCTATTACTCTTAACTGAAGATTAAGCAACCTGAAAAGATTTATAAACGTCACTATATTGTGAAGAGAACACATTCACTAGGGAAAGACAGGATTATAATCCCATGACTAATTTATACCATATGAGAGGTGGGATAAAGTAATCCCAGGTTTGATTGGATAAGGTAGTATAAAATAAGATAACCTGGTCTGAAATTAAATTTATACCGTATTTGATTTGCGGTATAAATTTATCTTCCCACCTTATACGTCGTACCAAACAACCCCTTAAAGTTGCTATTGCATATTGCCATATAGGCTATAGCACAGCTGATTTACATTACTTGCACCGATTTGACATCCCCGAGTTGAGATATCTAAATAAAATCTCGTGAAGTAAGAAGGCCGGGTCGATTTTAAAAGTGTAACCTAATGTAGAGTCCATTTTCCTGTCCATTTCATTATCAGTATTTCTAAATAATATCCATAACATATACATATAAACAAACAAACAAAAAACTAAGTTATGGGCGGGAAGCAAAGCACATCACCAGCAGAAGCAAACAAGCTAAGGCCTATCTCCAACTTCAAAGAACTGTCATAGAGGATACACAATCCTATGCCTATCAAAACTACAGTAACTTCTGCTAAATAACTAGAGAAAGCACTCTCATCAGATTGAACTCGTTCGTCTGAGCTGGTATCTTGGTTCAGATGACAACTCGGATAACATCTTCTCTAGCTCCTGCAAGGTATAGTTCAGTAACATATTGGTTAAAAAGACGATGCAAGATGTTATGCTATGCTTAGGAACGGAAGTAAGTAAAGGTGTCTTTTATAACATGTAGATGTACCGCGTTTTGCCAAGTCCAGACAGGTATATATACCACTATGCGGAATTAGCCCTAGTAACAAGACATCTTGAAAACTGAGTAGGAAATATACAACAAGATTCCCAGTCCTCAGCGACATTTGCATGTCTTGCAACACTCTTCGAAACAACTTTACAAGGAAAAAAAGGAGGAAAGTCATAATGCAGATCCTCGACGTGAAAAAGCAGTTAACTATCTACAACCCGAGGATACAAAATTGTCCATTGCTTCTGAATTTGCAGAATGACCATACTTGGATTACTAAGCGACAGAACTCAAGAATGGCATCCACGGTGCTTATCCAAATATCTTAGTCGGCGCGAAACTATATGGCAAAAGGATCCTTGTCAGCACGTAAGATCAGAGCATAGAGCAACTAGTTTTGCCGCACCAAACAATAGGACTTCTTAATACACCAGAAGAAATATATACATCAACGTCCACTAAATGCTTAATGTTATCAGCACTAACGAAACAGCTAAAACGGCCAAAGCAGCTAACCTAGCTGCAGATGCGCTCTAACAAATGATACGAAAGAATATTTGATTTAATAATACTATTGGGGTAGAATTTTCACAGACCCCCATCTGTCCAAGCATTGGTGAACAAAATTACCCGGCACCTGTGCTAATGGGAGGTAGCAGATATGGAATTAGTCAAGGTAGGCGCAAACTGGCCAGGATACCACAGTTCTCAAAAAAAAAAAAATTCAAAAAGTCCCATAAATCAACTATGAAAGACATGGGCCGCAAATTATTAAAGAATGAAGAAAGGCACTAGTGCGACTAGTTACTTGTTTAAAGATTTATAAACACGGCTTATGTCTATATAATACTTGGAAAGGGAAAATCAAACACGTATAACATCAAAGATCCAATTTCATAGAATGTTAATCCCATGGCACCAACACCACAGCCACCCTTGATTTGGCAGCTACCATGATTCAATACCCCTATAGCTTTAGGATACTTGTGATTCGACACTAGTAGTCTAGTACGACTAGGCTGTCAGGGTCTTTTCTAGTGTGCGTGTGTGTGTGAGAGAGAGAGAACCTTGAAAAAAGGCAGAATAATACAAACTTTAGTACATGAATTCTTACGTAGATCAGGACCAAGATGAAGTGGTCAACATGCACCATAACTCCAAGATAACTACTACTTTTGGACCATAATAAGCAAAGTAAAACAAACACCTTTCGCCACACCAAAAAGTTCTAAAATGCATTGATCAAACACAATCAGGGTGTCACACATTTACAATGCAAGCAATGCTTTTTTTAGTAACCAAACTATCACGAGACCAAATTTGAGCACAAGTCTTCATAACTGACAAGGACACTATGGATGCATTGATGCAAGGAACAAACGCCATGGAAAAATGGAATAGAAACCAAAAGCTGACACAATTATGAACTAACGAGTGTTAGATGATAACGTAAAATAGAGAAAGAATTATGGGGAACTCTAGATTGAATTTCTATTTGACATCTTCCCCAGCCTTTTCCTGCATCTCCTTCTGTTATTTTGTATAGAGTAATTTAAGGAAGCAAATATCATTTTTCCAACGAAGCGAGGAAGAAAGAAGGGAATGAATTTCCAAAGTGTAACTCAATTCTCCTACATCGGGAGAGCAACAAGAAAATCACCAAAGCCCAACTCATTCAGTCACCGTGTACTACAACTACGACCATCAGTTCACCAGTGTCCTCGCAAGAATGCCACATCAATCATCAGAGACAGCATTCACTTCTCACCATTGTGTCAATTGTTCAAAAAGGCAAGAATTTCAACAGAATGATAAAGCATAATATCTTTTTTCTGGGTAAAAAGCAAAATATTCTAAACTCAACTCCCAACCCCACTCCACTAAATTTATTAAAGACACTGGTGATGCCAAACAATCCTTTTAACCACATAACTAAGTGCGCATTAATTGGATAATTGGGTACTTCATTTATGATAGAGAGCTTCAAAGCATTACCTATCAAATAATATTCTCAAAGCATTTAAAAGATGATCTTATGCTCACTCTAATGCAACTACTTATCACATATGTAGTAAGCTAGCTTGTGGTTTTGTTTTTTACCTAGCTTGTGCTTCACGTTAAATTTAAAAGATGGTTCCTTATCCATGGTGATGCATTTTTATCCTCCATCTTTAGAGCATAGTCAAAAATCAAAATGGTCAACAAACTAACCAGAAATTTGGGGAATCAGTACCTCTGCACCTTCCAAGTTAAGCTAGAGAGATGGACACCTGCACACTATCACTACGACCGACTTTGGAGGGGAAGGGGACTTAAAAGCAAGTTTGAACCTACCTTTCCAACCCAAATGACATGTATACATAACAACTCCCTTGGTTCCATTTTATGACATCTTTTTTTCCATTTAATGACATTTTTTTAGTCTGCTTAACTGACCTTTCTATACTTGTAAACTAATTGATCTTCGCATTCACAGTTTTTCCTTAACGGCCAAAGGAAAAAATTTAAGGCTCTTAGCACTGAGCCTACTGTAGTTTTAAATTATGGGTTCAGACCTACTATTTGTTGCAATCTTAGTGGATTTTTCCATATAAACTTATGTTCCACGTCGAAAGTACTGGCTTCATCTCCGTTGCTGCAACGCTGCATCTGCCTCTGTTAATGGCGTGCTCTTATAAATATTGACATGGTATAGCTGCTATAGCATGGCATATTGATGAACAATACAAACTAAGGATATTTTGCATTTTTATGTATATTTAGTTTTATTTTAAAAAACGGATGACAAAACATACCAAAGGTGTGAAGACTAATGAATCTAAAATATTAATTACTCAAAGCTCTCCAAACAAAAACACCATGGGAGCAACCTACAAACAAGAGTGTTCTTTGCTCTATTTTTGTATCAGCTCTTAAGTGTTCTTTCCACTCACAGTGACATACAAACATCATGCTTACATTAATGAAGGTAGATAGTAGATATTGGTGCTAGGCTTTCACACACACCTCATTGGCAATTCCTCTCTGCTACTATCTTTTAGTAGGTACTTTGATCATTTCCCCCCAACTTAACTGGGAAAGCAAAAATAGTCCTTTTCGGGGAAAAACGTTGTGGTAATTTGAAGGGACATTTTGGTAATGCCATAAATATAAGGTGGAATAATTGAGGTGCACGCAAGCTAGCCCGGAAACCACCGTCATAAAAAAAAAAGGACCAAGTTGAAAATAAGGGACTATTATAGCAATTTACATCTCCAAGCAAAATACACAATAAATAAACCATTTTGTGCACCATGTGCCAAATATATATATCAATCAGCTTACTTTTAAGAATGACAGGTTGAAACGGGAATATTTGCAGTTACACATATCGCTGCTCATTACACAGTTTCCTTTTTTCTTTTTAAAAGGACTGCTGATTACAAAGCTCTCATCATTTATTCATTTTACCTTGTAAAACCCAGGTCAAGCATAAACTCAGCAAATGAAAATGTCACTTTTCAACCCAAAGAGAACTCATTTTCTGCCTACACAGTACAAAATTAGATCATTCCTCCCCTTTCAGCTCCCCCCCAACGCCCCCCACCCCACCCCCACCCCCCCAAAAAAAAGAACTAGGGATCCATGCCAAATCACAAGGTTTATTCAAAGAAAGCTAGCTAATCATGGACATTCACAAACTCTAAACGGTACTAACAGCTAGTTTGAGGCAAAACCTATTAGATTATTTGATATAACATTAACAAGAGAAGTATCTTAAATCGTGTACCTCAGACATAAACTGCTACTCATGACCAGTCTACTTTTTTATTTATTATAAAGACTCATGACTAGTCTACTTTTACTTCTTTCTTTGAGTTACTAAAAACATAAAGGATATGTTTGATATGATTTAAGGCTCAGCCCTTTTTTCACATTTTGAGTATTTCTCTGGTAACTCCACATTCTTTACAAGCCTATTTATTAATGACCTCTCTAATTCCAGTGCAAAGCCAGTAGTCCTTCGGATATTAATTATCTCACTTCTAAGACGATTCATCTTTCTACAGTCAACAACGGTTCCCTTTAAGATAAACTATTGATCATCAGAGATCTCCAATCTGTTATTTGAGACAAATGGCACAGGGAATATAAGGAGTTATAAATCAGCTTGCTAAGCGCATGAATGAAATCAGAAGCCAATAACACAACAAATAATTCTTCTTTAAAGGATATATAACTAGTGGTTGAAGCCTCATATACATGATGAGAGGATCCCTACCTTCTCTTTCTTAAGCTTCATGTTCTCCTCTTCCAGATGTGAGACCTTGTTCACGAGCTCATTCTGGTAAGCCTACACCATGCAAATAATAGATTACAATGTGAAGTACAAATGCAAACTGAGGTTGCGAGCAAAACATTCGTGGACAGCACACCTGTTTTCTGGCTCGAGAGCGTGCAGCTGACTCTCTATTCTTGATCTTTCTCCTTAGTCTCCTATCAAGAGTCTTATCGAAGTCCGAAGCATCCCTCTTCCGACCAGAGACCGGTGTATCCGACAGCGCATCAATCGAAGGAGATGGTGACAAGCCTATCTGAGGCACAAAATTTTGCACTGCCGTAGGATTATCCAATGACATTGTATGTCCTAAAGAAGCATCAGCACCGAAAAGCCCAGCTTTCACCAAGTAGTCCTCCAAAGTTGTCTCGCCAAGAGTTGGCTTTCTCTCTTGATCGTTCATGCTGTCGAGATTTCTCACCGTTTGACCTTGTTGTGTGTCTCTCCACACTTTATCAATTGTATTACTACTAATCGCCTTTGCCAGAGTTAAGCTAGCATGATGCTGAAAAGAAGTCGGTAGGGGAAGTATTATCAATATCCACACCAGCAAACTGATTTAGATCTGCATTCCACACACTCATTAGTAACTCATCAAGATTCATACCGCCGGGAGGCTTACCTAATTCAACAAACTGGTTCTCAACCTCGTCAAGTGTGAGGTTAAACCATATATTTTGCCTGCCAGTGTAAATGAGATTGTCGCACACTCCCATGAGATTCATGGTCTAAATCCCCATTCATCAAAACCTCCAACCTTAACCCCTAATGGAAAACCTACTCTGTTGAAAAATAATACTTTTGGTCAAATATAAAAGAAAATACATTCTTGATCATCCTCGTTAAGACCAAAGCAACCAATCAATCAACCACATATCAATTTTTAACCCCTTTTTTATAATCAAGAAATCCCCAAGAATCAGCTGGCGCACGGCTCGAGACCTGGTAAATAATGGCTTCCCCATAACCTTCTCTACTTAAAATACCAGGCTTTTGACCGCGGCATGGTTTGAACTCGGGACGTTCACCTAACCCCACACATTACTTATGCCCGTACTACTGAGCCAAAGCTTGGGGCATCAATCCCTTGCCTATCTAGGAAAACAATAAAGAATTGATTCAATCCCAAACTAGTTGAATTCTAATTAATGAGTCCTCCATAATCCATGTCTATTCTGCTCTACTTCAGCCCCATTTCCCCATCAAGACCAAAAAGGATAGATAGATTTTACCCATATATGCAATCTTCACTATCAAAAAGCTTCAACTTTGCTGGAAGATCTGCCCCCAATTATAATCCACAAGTGGGGTCCGGAGAGAGTAGTGTGTACGTAGACTTTACCCCTACCTTGTGAAAGTTGAGAGACGGTATCCAATAGACCCTCGGTTCAAGGAAAATTGAAACCAATAATATGAATATTAAATCCTATATATCCATTTAGCTCTAATGAGTCTCATTTCCCCGTTAAGACCGAAAAGGAAAGATTTTCACCATATTTGCAACCTTCACTACCAAAAAACTTCCACTTTTCTGGAAAAATCTTCCATAACTCCACCCTCAGCCCATCCCAAAAAAAAATCCAAAAAACACACACACACATACGCAGTCTTTTCCCGTCCCAACTATAAACGGGATACCTTCCTGAATCACACATAGAATGCCACTGAATCCTCCCTTTTGGTGAAGGTGGGGTTATGGAACCACCCGGTGTACTAAGCTCCCGCTATGCGCAGTGTCCGAGGAAGGGCCGGAACACAAGGGTCTATTGTACGCCGCCTTTCCCTGCATTTCTGCAAGAGGCTGTTTCCACGGCTTGAGGGTTATGCAACCACAACAATAACAAATAAACCTCAGTCCCAAACACAAGGGTCTATTGTACGCAGCCTTACCCTGCATTTCTGCAAGAGGCTATTTCCACGGCTTGAGGGTTATGCAACCACAACAATAACAAATAAACCTCAGTCCCAAACAAGTTGGGGTCGGCTATATGATCCTCACTCATCATATTTTCCTTTTGCTTATCAATAAAATAGGATAACCACTGAACCCCAATTATAACAGTGAAGACATAGTTCTTCACAACACAATTACAACTGCTACGTCTTAATGTCAAACTAGTTAAATTAGCTTTACAAATCCAGACTATTAATTCCAATCCATTTGAACCGCTCTCGTTCCAATATTCAACTAGTTTGGTCCACAATTTAACATAATAGAAAGAAAAATACAGACTGTGCACAAATTTAAAGAAGATCAGAAGTAAAACGAAACAAATAAAAACCCAGAAAGCTCAAATAAATTTTTATTACTAGATGACAGAATAACAGACACCAATAATTGTTTTTTTCAACAAAAAGAAGGCGGAAAGAAAAAAAAAAAATTATTGAAAAATAGGAAGAAAGAGAAAGAGGGTATTACCTGGCAGAAGAAGAGGATCAATTAGTGAAAAACACAGGGAACTGGTTGTCGTTCGTATGGGGAATCCACGTATCACTGTATTTTTGTTCAAATCTTGAAACTGCTTTTCTCCTATTTTTCATCTATAAATTCGAGAGAAATGTCCCTATGTGTATGATTTACTTGATGGGGCCGGCCCATTGTTTTAGTGAAGCGAGAATTTTACCGTTTTAGCAAAATATTCTTATTTTTTATTTGAACATTTTTCTTTTGATAATTAAGTAATTTTATTTACCTAAGGGAAAATATATGTACAAGTAAAACAAAACCCATAAAGTTGGACATTCCCAACTTTTTACATTTGTCTTCTCTTCTTCCTTATCCCTTTAGTTACAAAAATAGACCGAATTTAACTAAGAAAAGAAATTCATCCTTCTCAATTGCCCCGCAAGTTTTCGATCCCACCGTCCCCTGCAATGAACATCTTGTGTTATTAATCTGCTTAGAACTTCAACACTTCTCGACTTCTTTTGGAAGATTCTTAAGTTCCACTCTTCCCATAAGTAGTACACACATGCTGCCATTATTAATCTGTAGATTCCAGCTTTAGTATCCTTTCCATTTGCATTCGTAACTGTCGATGCAAGTTCTTGATTCCATCCCATTGGCCCTCTGTTTATTTCCATCCATGTGAGCATTTTTCCCATAGGGCAGCAAAGAAGTTGCACTTAAAAAATAGGTGCTCGATGGATTCGTCGTCATTATCACACAAAGGACAAATTAGCTCAGTCACTTTGCTAATCTATCTCTAGTATATAGCCTTCCCAGTGCTGCCAGTTGTAGTGTGAATATCCATTTAGGATATCCTGAATTGTTGCATATTAGTCTCTTCCAACTCACCTTTGGATAATCTCCTCTAAGTTTGTTGTATATCTTCTTGATTAAGAGGTGACTGGTCTTCAAGATGTCTTCATATAAGTATCCTGCTTTCTCCAAGGTATCCTTTGCCTTTATCACCTTTTTAACCATCCAGGACGCTTGTGGAGGGTCACACGCTTAAATCTTTTAGTAATGAAAAATAGAAGATTAATGATCCATTATTATTACCATCGTTTGAATGTTGATAATTTATGTACAAATATTTACTCCAGATACTGATTTAGTAATTTATCGTAAAAAGCTCAAAAATTCATTGTTGGACCTTAGAAAGTAATAAAGAAAACGTGAGTCTTTTGACTTGATATTATTTGACTAAATTAGTGATTGAGAATTATTTGTGTTAGTATTCGAAAGTTTTATTTCAAATTTGAGATCAATTGAAACATATTTGACTTGGTTTGATCGAAATTGAAGCCACAAATTCAAAAATTACTTTGTTAAAATCACATAAAGTTATACAATTGGTAGACTTCGATGAACAATTTAACGGATAGATAAAGCAAATATAACATAAACTCTGCCCAATCTGGTAGAGAAATTCTTGAAGAGCAAAATCATGTCAACCTGGTAGACTCTGATGACAACTTAACAGATAAATAAAGTAGTATAAACTCTATCAATCTGGCAGAAAAATATTGAAGAGCAATTACTATATGCGTGTCTGAGTGCTATTTTTTAAATATTGTTTATATTTGGAACATTCGGCGAAGACCAGCCACTTACTGGGCTATTATTGTCAATCTCTCACGAGAAAAAAAAAAAAGAATCCTTTCAGTTCCAGTGCAGAACTTTTAGAGGACTAGTGGTTCACAATTCGAAATTTCACTAAATAATGTATTGTTGATTGCTATTATTTTTCCCCTTTTAAATATTACTTTTTCCTGCGCCAAGACATGCACATAACTCATATATCACATGTTACACTCCTATCACTATATGAAAGTTCTAGACCAGTTTCAAATAGTGGTGAAGCTACAAGGTAGTTGACCACCCTTCATCGACAAATTGTACTGTGTACATAGGTAAAATATTATGTTTTAGGGGTATATAACATATATTGAATACCCTTTGTTGGAAATATTTTCACTTCTTTTAAATTTGAACACCCTTAGAAAAAATCCTAACTTCGCCACTGATTTCAAACACCAAATGCTGAAAATTGATTATATGCGTAAATAATTATATGTTTAAGTAGAAGTGTTAGAGTTGAAAATAAGTTTGTATATATATTTTATGAGTACCTTGAAAGTTATTTACCTAAAAGGAGTAGATTATCACATGATTTTACTTCAAAATTGACCAAAATACAAGTTAATTTATGTCTACTCCTTTAAATTCTATATTGATTAGATAAAATAATGTCTAATAAATGTAATTTTTTTATTTAAATAACATAAAACATTTAATAGTCTGACTAAACTTTGATAATAATATCATACCTAAATAGTGCAAAATATTCATATGGAATTACAACTTCATATAGAAATTACAAGTAAAATATTCATATAAAAATCTCCCCGATAATTAGCAATTGTGATTTCCCCGAATCATCAAAAAAGAAAATTAGTAAAGTGTAACAAACAGTGGGATCACCATTAAGAGCCGTGGCCCGTGATGAATTGATAGGATTCCTCCATCCTTAACTATAGTGTATAGGTCTCGGATTCAAATCTTGATCATGAAAATAATCCTAACAGAAATGAACCTTACATGATTGAACTGGATTAGTCGAGACACAAAAAAAATAGTAGAATTGTAAATCTAATAACCTATCCACATGCTCTAAATACTCAAGTCAACCTAAAGTTTTTAAACTAAAAAGTCATAAGTTAAAAATGCGGGACATTTGTATCTATGCCCGCTTTTTGTGTTAACACGTTTTAACTTGTGTCCGCTTTGCAAAAAAAATTGCAAGCGTACCCGCTTTTTCGCATAACTTACGGGGCTGAAGTAGCAAAGGCAATCACGCAAAACTTCAGCATTCTAGTAGCCGGGCCTGAAGTTAAGCTCTAGAGCTGAAGTTTTTGTTTTGTAACTGGCGAACTTCAGCTCCAGAGCTAAAGTTTTTGTTTTGTAACTAACGAATTTTTGTTTGTAACTGGCGAACTTCGGCTCTAGGGCTGAAGTTTTTATTTTTGTAACTGGCGAACTTCAGCTCTAGAGCTGAAGTTTTTGTTTTGTAACTGGCGAACTTCAGCTCTAGAGCTGAAGTTTTGTTTGTAACTGGCGAACTTCAGCTCTAGAGCTAACTTCAGCTCTAGAGCTGAAGTTCTAGAGCTCTAGAGCTGAAGTTTTTGTTTGTCTTCTTTTTTTTTCCAGATTCACAAAGCAGCATTCATTTTGTCATCTTTCGCCAGAAGTATGATCGAGTCTTAATAAAATGAATAATGAACACTGGTGGTGCAATCATTGGACCAAGATCGAGTCTTAATCAAGTTAATAAATAAGTGAAATGAGACGTATTGTATGAAAATTCTGTAGTAATTATCATAATTTTCAATTCACCAATTATTGTAAAATTCTTTCTCTGTGGTGTTTGGTACTTCAATATAAATTTTCCTGCTGAAGTTTTTAATCGATGTTCCAACTCAATCCTAGCAAATCAGTTGCTTATTTTTCTTTCAGTGTACTTAGTAAACTAATTGGGATCGGCGCTTCCATAAAAGAAAGAGGTTGAGGGCGGATATAACTTTGAGGAGGAAAAGGAGGAGGAGAAAGGGGGCTGAAGTTGTTTAAAAAGTGGGAACAAGTTAAAAGTTTTAAAAAAATGGGTATAGGTTAAATGGGGGCGACCAAATAGGGCGCCCCGTATAATTTTTACTAAAAATGCCAACTTATGATTTATATGATATTTCGATTCATTTAAAATCATATTGTCCCTGTTTAATAAGGTAAGATAAAGGACTATGCATAGTGAGAATCTTTTTTACTTTATCAAACACTGAAATAAGCACACAAAAAATTGTGATTTTGTTATAAATAGAGTTCTATTTATGGTGAATGCCTATATTTAGAGAGATTCTAGGGTTTATTACTTGGTGGCTAAGTCACCATCTCCCTATAAATAGAGGATTCTATTCCATTGTAATTCATCCCAAAATTCAATAAGAATTTCCTTTCTCTCTTTCTCTGCAATATTGTTCTTCTACTTTTATTGTTTCATAACACGTTATCAGCACGAGACTCTACCGTCTCAAGAAGCTCTTTGAGAAGATTAAGGTATAACTTTTCTCCTCTTTTTAATTATGACTGACATTATGAAAAGAAAGTTCGTTGCCCTTGAAATTTCGGGCAAGAACTATATGACATGGGTGTTGGATGCTAAAATTCATTTAGATGCAATGGGTCTTGGAGACGCCATTAAAGACAGAAATAAAGCATCCACCCAAACTGTGCTAAGGCCTTGATTTTCTTGCGCCATCACCTTGATGAAGGGTTGAAAATAGAATATCTCACAGTCAAAGATCCACTTATTTTGTGGAATGGCTTAAAGGAAATATATGACAACTTAAAGTTGGTCACTCTTCCACAAGCACGATATGATTAGGCTCATCTGAGGCTCCATGACTTTAAGTCTGTTTCTAAATATAATTCTGCGATGTTCAGAATTACTTCTAAATTGAAACTCTGTGGAAATACTATCACTGATTATGATATGCTTGAAAAAACGTTCACAACGTTTCATGCCTCCAATATGGTCCTGCAACAGTAGTATAGAGAGAAAGGTTTCAAGAAGTACTCTGAGCTGATTTCTCTTCTCCTTGTGGCTGAGCGAAACAATGACTTGCTCATGAGAAGTCACGAAAATCGACCCACTGGGTCTAAACCATTGCCTGAAGCGGATGAGGTGTATTCCCATTATGCTAAGCGTGAAAAAGGCCGTGACTCTAGTCGTGGTCGTGGTCGTGGTCGTGGCCGTGGACGTAGACAAGGAAGAAGATTTTCTGGTGTTAATCATCCCCTAAAGAGAAATAACCACCAAAAGTGGAAAGGGAAAGATGAGAAGCCAAAGGCAAATGGTTCAGAAACTGAACGTTATCGCTGCGGTGGAAAAGGGCATTGGGCAAATATTTGTCGTGTACCAAGACATTTGGTTGAGCTTTATCAAGCATCTCTAAAGAATAAAGGCCCTGAAGCCAA